ACTGACTGCTATTCAATCTATAACAGTGAAAAAAGTTTTTTGTTTTTAAATCCAAGCTATTGTGACACCAGATGTAATTGGTGGCACTGACTGGAGAAATGGGCACAGTATGCACTGTGAGCCTGACACAGAAGCTGGCAGCAGTGGCAGACAACTGACTGCTATTCAATCTATAACAGTGAAAAAAGTTTTTTGTTTTTAAATCCAAGCTATTGTGACACCAGATGTAATTGGTGGCACTGACTGGGGAAATGGGCACAGTATGCACTGTGAGCCTGACACAGAAGCTGGCAGCAGTGGCAGACAACTGACTGCTATTCAATCTATAACAGTGAAAAAAGTTTTTTGTTTTTAAATCCAAGCTATTGTGACACCAGATGTAATGGTGGCACTGACTGGGGAAATGGGCACAGCATGCACTGTGAGCCTGACACAGAAGCTGGAAGCAGTGGGGCGACTGCTATTCAATCTAAACAGTGGAAAAAGTTTTTTGTTTTAAAGCTATTGTGACACCAGATGTAATTGGTGGCACTGACTCGACACAGAAGCTGGCAGCAGTGGCAGACAACTAAGTGCATTTACATTACATAGAAAAAAAAATAAAAAAAAGCATACCCTTATCCCTAACCTAGCTATGCTTTTCCCTATCTTATGAACAGCAGCTACACTTTCCCTCCTCTTACTAAGCATGCAGCTTGAGAATGAATCTAAAATGGATGCTGTCCAGTAGGTGGGAGGGTCTGCTAGGGAGGCTGTGCTGCTAATTGGCTGGAATGTGTCTGCTGACTGTGAGGTACAGGGTCAAAGTTTACTCAATGATGACGAATAGGGGGCGGGTCGAACCGCGCATATGTTCGCCCGCCGTGGCGAACGCGAACATGCTATGTTCGCCAGGAACCGTTCGCCGGCGAACCGTTCGGTACATCACTAATCAAGATCTGTGTTTATTTATTAATTAATTTTCATTTCTTTGCATCTTGCTTTTCAACTGAGGACAGTGTCAGTATAACAAGAAGCCAGATGGCGTATTTTTTTTTTTAAATGCTGATGACAGTACGTCAATGTCTACAGTCTCTTACAAATGTTTTGTTGGGCATTTAAAGATACATAATGACTCTTCACAATATAACATTTTCAAACTTGCATGGACCAATAAACATCCACGAGGTGCATACTCATGAGCCCATAAAGTATAGCACCGGGGCTGCTAGTATTAATGCACCCATCAGCTTCTTCTCAAAGATAAGTATTGAATTCAATTCAGAAGCATTGAACGGCACACCATGCGTGTGCTAGTTTGCGAGCAGCGGGATGAACTAAGTATTATATCTCGCTGCTCAATCCAGCCTACCTCTTCACTTTCTTTCATGCCCCCAAAGGCAGCACCTAGCAGCCAGCACAGATCTCTGTAAGTGGTGAGATGAGCTCAGTGATAGTCGTGTGACTCAGAGTGCTGGCAAACAGTATAATATTCATTCTAATATTTGCTAAAGCCAAACATGATCAGAATTCAGACGGCCCGAGCAAATCTGCAGCAATCGCCCAGATACATTCGGTGTCCAGGTTAAAATCAGTGCTTTCACATCACAGAAGGGTAGCATATTTACAGTAAGAACTGGATATATTGGGAAGCACAGGTGACTGTCAGACAGTCAATGAGGGTTATTCACACAACATTTCATATGATTTAATCAGATTTATGGACAAACAACCTGTTTATCTTTTTATTATCACTCTCCCTAGCAGCAATAGTAAGGCACAATAAGGGTGCGGGAGGGGAGGTGCAGGGGTGTGGACTGCAGTACTATAAATTAAAAAACATATATGTGATCAATCTCACACATCTCAAAGTTGTAAAAAGAAGTTAAAAACTCCAACAGAAAAAACTATTATTATTATTATTTATTGGCACAAGAAATGGTGAGACGCTACACTTATAGATAACCACTGATCTTCTATGTCTTCCAGACCTCACAACAATGATGGTCTTCACAGTCTGTGTACATAGTCAACTAAATTTCATATATGCTCTTTTGCCTCTGTGTTTTAGGTACATGTTCATATCTGCAAGTATTAAAATGTCTAAATAATTAATCAAATATGTAGAAATCCAATCAGCATGGGCATGCGACAGCTTCTTAATATTCAAGCAGCTTTATTGGGTCAAGAGAAAAATTACAAGAAACTGTTGTGTGCCCGTACCGATTGGATTTCTACGTATTTGTTGTACATTGTTGCAGTCTCTGGTGTGTGAACACTAACTAAGGATTCTGGTTGAATGCTATCCCTTTCTATATTCCACTTAATGATTAATCAAGGCATTTTTTAAACAAAATATTGAATGACGGTTCATTCAGAAAAGATAATTCACCAATATCTTTGGAACCGTTCTCAGGACTGAAATCAGGATGCATGAAAGAAATATCCGGCATTAAATATTCAAATTATGATTCTCTAATGATAGATGAGATGCCTAAAAAAGGAGTAAAAACAATATTCAGCAACTGTTTTAGAGGGTGTAATGGTTGGAATTTTAAGAGTGTACATTTCTTCAAACTGTGAAGGGGAAACATTTTCAGTCAATTCTGTCACAGCTTTAGTTGCTGATTTTGAAACTCCGCTTGAGACATTTTCTGTTTCCATATGTTCATTGGTTTATCTGTGGAAGTATATACATGCAGAGTGTGAGTAGTTGCATTTTTTTTTTGTCAAAATCAAACGTTCAGCTTTGTATAGAGGCATTTCTGTGTTTATATAAATTGACTGTAGCAACTGATTTATCCTGTTTCTCAATTCTTTCTGCACATGTCCCATTAGTGGAAAATGTATCTTGTTTTGGTATGAAAAATAACTTTTTGGATCTTCCATAGATGTGTCTGATTCTTCATATTCAGAAGTTGAACAGTTACATGGGGATTTTGTCCCAATGTCGAGCAATAAGGTCAAAACACTTGGTCTTGGAAAGATGGTTGAAACTGTGTTTGGGCTCAATGCTTTCCTTTGTGGAAGAAAACATGTCTGGTGCAAAAAGTTTTGAACATATTCTCATGGTGATCGGATTAATTTATTGTATGATCAATTGTATGGTTTTATTAAAAAACATGGAGGTTCTTATTTTGCGTAACTGAAAAAAACATAAAAATGTTAACATGTGTACATATCTTCTGGAATATCACATTCCCCTTTCTTTGCTGCTCTATTCAGATAGGTACACCTTTTATTTGTCCCATTTGAATTTTGTTGCATTGCTATATGCATAGACATTCTTAGTTTGGGGATATTCAGCCCTGTTTGCACTGATTTGTACTAACATAATTTCTGTTCATATTTCTTAATTTGTAGTTTATTTTAGTTCATTATTGTGGTGGAACATACCTCCAATTTCGTATATTTTACCTTTTTTCCATTAGGAGTTATGGTATACGAACACTCTACATTCGACTCCCGAACGAGGATCACCCTGGTACCCCATTAGAACATTCCCACGTAGTAACTTAAGTGCGAAACTGCAAGGTAATTAATTAATGGAGGGGAATAACTGTATAACCGAATGCACGTGGTCGGCAAAAGAGTGGCGGCCATTTTGTCTCCTGAA